ATGCTATTTTATAAAAGTGACAGATTTAACATTCAAAAAATGCAAACAATAAAATAAAATACAATTCTCTACTTTAATTGTACTTTTCTTGGTGCATCTTACAAAAAGTCCCAAATGTAAGTGAGCAGCTGATATATTGAAGCTATAATGTCATCCATATATATATATATATATATATATAACTATTGTTTTTAATATATACTATACTCTATTTTAATACACATATAATTTAATAATCACAAATAGGATGACAGCTTTTAAAAAATATATATATATATATATATACCATCTTACAAAATGGTAAGTATCTAATACATTGAAGCTATTTTTGTCAATATATATTAATATATAATTCTATATTATTCTTTTTTTCCTGGGTCCATCTTACAAAAGCGTAAATAGCTAATACAACACACACTAATCTTCAAGATTATATTATATTATATTATGTTTATTAATGAAATATTTTAAAAATGACTAATAGATAAATATAAAAAAAAATCTGAAACTTGTTTGCTAAAATAAATCAAGGAAAGTGAGAAGGCATTTTCAGCTGGCTTAGTGATGTAAAGCATTACAAAAATAGCTCTGTAGCATTACACAAAACACAGCTAATTACTGGAAAACCCCCTGCTTTGAAAAGAGCCACACTACTGAAGAATGCTGTTATGTTATATACTCACTACTTACTTTATTTACTCTCCGACACGGCTTACCAACAGCGCTAGCAACCCTCTCCCAATCCTGTGATAAAAGTCATTAAAACGATAGCAAAATCACCTGCCCCACAAATGACCCTTTTTTGTAAAATGTCATCGTAATATGCAAAAATATAGTGTGCATTATCATGTTTCACGCGTGTAAGACTCAGAAGAAGACATTACAATGAAGTCATATGCAAAATTACCAATACCGTTAACCTCTAACCAGATGAACGGCCCTGGGGAAAAACTGGAGGAGCAGGAAGAAAAGGGTCAACAGGTTCACTATGAAGTGTCATTTCTAGTTCTGAGATAAGAACATCACCTGAAGTATCCAATTATCTTGTGTAACTGATGGGCACACTATACCTCTTCACCTCTATCTAAAGTCTTGAAGACTAAAATATGGGACGAGGTCCTGCTCTATGCAAATGCCATTTATCAGTGGCATAAAACAGGGTGGCGGTGAAATCTGCATATCCATGTGCCCTTTTAAAGCACCATGTATGACGGCTTAACCCCGCTTCAATACCTAGAATGAGGCCATCAATGATAAATCCACTGCACTTCCCATTGACAATTTTTAGCCCTGTTGCTATGACGACAGTGTATTTGTGCACTTTGGTTTTGAAGGCAGGGTTGGTCTGAGAGTGAGAGACTGTAATCACCTCTCGCAACAGGAAGTGGGAACTGCAGGATTCCACACACACGCTAAAGTGACATTTACAAAGACACTTACTATCTAAAGCTCACACATATACGCATATGCAACGCTTCAAACCTCCCCACGGTTCTTTGACGTTCCCGTTCGTCTGATGTCATCTCAAGTTTTATTCAAAGCAGGTTAAGCGTGTGGATTTGTGAAGGTGCGCTCGTGGAGTGAACACAGCTTTACATGTACCTTGGAAGTATGCTAAAGCAAAGCAGCTTAGAGTAGAGCTTTTTTTCTTTGATGGCCTTTAAGAGCAATCCTCAAAAAGACGTCACGCAGAGGCATGGTCAAACAGAGATCCTCGGCACTCTCGAGATGACAAACAATGCCACTATCAGCTTAACGAGGCTGTTTCGGAAATTAACACCTGGGTTGAGCCAATCAGAGCAGGCCTCTCCTCTAGACGAGGCTGAGCAATACAGAGCAGACTGCATGGATGAACTGTTAATAGAATACATATCTTCAGTGTCACATGAACCTTCAGAAATCATTCTAATATGCTGATTTGGTCAGTTGGTGCTCAGTTATTATTGCTACTGAATTATTAATAATGACCTTTTATTGAATTATTGAGAATGAACTTATTACCAATGTTGAAAAGAGTTTCTGCTTTAAAAAAATATATATATATTTTTTTTTATTATTTTTTTTTTTGCTGTTTCCGGATAAATGATTAGTTCTCTTCCATATTATCATCTTTCCCAAATCAGGAGAGAAATATGCACAAATCATGCAATTTTTACAAGCAAACAGTCCAAAACAGTATTAAAGAAATATGTTCAGTTGGTGCTCAGTTATTATTGCTACTGAATTATTAATAATGACCTTTTATTGAATTATTGAGAATGAACTTATTACCAATGTTGAAAAGAGTTTCTGCTGCTTAATAGTTGAAATTATGATTTTCTCAGGAAAGTTTTATGAATAGAAAGTTTAAATTAACAGCATTTAATTGCAACAGATTATTTGTAACATTATAAATTCTTTACTGTCACTTCTGATCAATTTAATGCATCCTTGCAGGTTTTTTTTTTTTTTTTTTTAGTTGTGCATTGTTTCCAAAATAAATATACAAATATTAAAATAACATTTTAAAAAATATTAAAATAAATTAACAAATGAAGAAAAAATTAATAAATATAATTAATAATAATAATAATACAGATTTGGAGAAATATAGCATTACATCACTTGCTCACCAAAGGATCCTCTGCAGTGAATGGGTGCCGTCAGAATGAGAGTCCAAACAGCTGATAAAAAACATCACAATAATCCACACCACTCCAGTCCATCATTTAATGTCTTGTGAAGTGAAAAGCTGCATGTCTGTAAGAAATCAATTTAAAAAAATATATATATATTTTTTTTTATTATTTTTTTTTTTGCTGTTTCCGGATAAATGATTAGTTCTCTTCCATATTATCATCTTTCCCAAATCAGGAGAGAAATATGCACAAATCATGCAATTTTTACAAGCAAACAGTCCAAAACAGTATTAAAGAAATATGTTGGTGGGTTGTTTGAAACCTCATTCTGACGGCACCCATTCAAAACCTCATTCTGACGGCACCCATGTTATGTAAAGAAAAAAAAAAAAAAGTTCTTATGAAGTAACAAACTTATCTAGATGGATTGTCTGAGGGTGAGCAAATTTTCATTGTGGGAAGATAAACTATCTTATTCTTTTAAAAGCTTATTGATAAAACATCTATACTATAATGAAACACTTGCAGTTTATAACATTTTCTTTCATCAAAATACACTTTTGTTTGCTTTTTGGAACCGAATAATGCACTTCAACTGCAGGTGTTAACTCGAACACGCTTACCTGCCAAACCTTGACCCCTTGCATATTTCCAACTGTCTACGGCCCTTTCCCAAGCCTTTGAGGTTCTCCTCAAGCTCCAAACTCTTGTCACAGAATGACGCACTGTTGGGCAATTGTGACGGGAAGGATCATGAGCGGTCATGAGCACCCTTCTGAATCATAAACAATCACATGGGAGACCATACAGTCACAAGGATGTCAAGGACTCATGAAAGCAAAAGCTACAAAACAATACACGTCCACAACGTACGTCATTTGGGCCTACATCGGATTCTTATTCAGCGTCCAGTATTCTAAAAAGATGTCAGATCTAACAGGGGCAAGAGAGCAGCATCATGCTCTTTGTCTCTGTCGAGACGGCTCAAGACTGAACGCTTCATTTGACTTTCAAATGCACCGGGGACTGCTTAAATTAAGGGGGACTTACCCTCCCATTTCACGGGCGCGGGATAAAATAACTCTAGACCCTACATAATTACCACAATTACTACTCCCAAATTACATAATAACCCATACATTCAAAAGGTTTAGAAATCTGCTATGTATGTGGTTGGGACAGAAAGGGGGCTGGAATATTTCAGACATGTTTCCTCTGTGTTTAAGTACGGCTCTGCTGTAACGATGAGGTTTGGCGGGTCTGTATTCACATTCACTGGAGCAGCACAGCTGCAGATAGCTGTATGGAAGACCAATTAAGGACTCGAGGGAGACCATGATTAACATTGTGATTGTGTGAATACAAGTCAGGGAGTCAACAAATTTCCAACCCCAGAACTTGAGTAACGCTGGTAATGTGCTTTTGTGAGGAAAAAAAAATGTGTCTGCTGTAAAGGAAGTGGCCGATAGAAAAAGCACAGAGACTTCATAAGACATAAAGCACTGGATCTTTGGATCTTTCTTAAACAAAGTACAGTTTTTTTTTTTTATAAATTAGTAAATTTATTCAGATTATTATTATTACATTTATTCAGCAAGGACACATTAACTTGATCAAAAGTGACAGTAAAGACATTTATAATGTTACAAAAGATTTCTATTTTAAATAAATGCTGTAAACAGATTCATCAAAGCAGCCACATTCACTGTCTGATAATAACAATTAATGTTTTTTGAGCAGCAAATCAGAATATTAGAATTATTTCTAATTATTTAAGTCTGGAGTAATGGCTGCTTTACTTTAAATTATAATAAAATTTAAATTAAAGTTGTAACAATTTTAAACTGTAGTGCATTTTATGGATGGATACAGCAATGGATTTTTTACTTGAACTTAACTTTAACTTAAAATATTTCAACATTGTCTTGAAATAAAGAGAAATAAAATTCTGCACAAGTGAGGTAATACAATAAAAACACTATTAAAAGAATAATGTGGACCTCATAGCTCACATAATTTGGTCATGGAAGAATGTGGAGGAATGTTTGAACTTGAAATTGAATGTTTGATCTTGATATTGAAATTTCTGAAATGTATTTCCAGCCTAGGCATAGTGTATCTGAGCACAATGTGAGACACTGAGATCTCTTATGAATGTAGTATTATTGTAAAAATCTGGAAATTTGGAATTTTGACCTTCATAAACACTTTAAAGCCAATTAAGTTAGACAACTAAAATCGTCAATTATCTGCTAATGAAAAACATGAAAGTAAAATTTAAAACATCAGCAGATCTTACTGTCATAACCTTCCTACTGAATTTTTAATGCATCAGTAGGAACCATGAGTTTCAATCTATACCTCGAAATAGCTCTCACAAACACTGATGAAAGCAAAGGCCAGGGTGTCAATAAAGCAAGAGAAGTGGACTGTCAGTAGTCAATAGAGCATGGCATGCAAAGCTAATTGGAACCGACCAAATTATGCTCTAGTAGTGCCACGTACATGATGATCCATCACCTGTGTTCTCACAAACGCAACACACACTTTCTAATTGTCATGAGCTTGGAACTCTTTAACACCCTGTCAGAGATATTCCTTTATTTGTCTAGGTCATTAGCAAACAAGTGGTTTCATATTGCGCTAAAGAATGGCAAACAATGTGGTCTAATTAACATTGTGGTCCTGTGTGGGTGGAAGCAAAAGTTAATTTAGAAACAGATTGTGTCCGTTTGCAATATTTCTGGAAATTCAGTTTGTTGAGGGCAGAATTCAAAGAATCCTTCAGCTAAAAGTTAGTATTGTGTCATTGTTTACCCATGTCATTCCAAACCGTACTTTCTTAAATAAGGGTAAATAAATGATGACACAGTTTTCATTTTTAGGTGAGCTTTCTCTTTAACCTCTAGATGTCCTGCCCATGTCTAAATAACAGGAAAGGCCCACAGGACCACAAAAATGAATGCATTTAGTCATCAGAGGGTCAACCTCAGCAGAGACCGGCGAGAATAAAGCAACACAAAGTTAGAGAGAATGAGAAAAAGAGCACTCAAGATCAGCCTTAGGTTACAGGAAGAGAGCCAGAATAACACATGTCTTCCTGCAGGCTTTATATATAGGCCGTAGAATCCAAGGCTTTCCTTTGATATCACAGGGAAGCAGATGGAGAGATATGTCCACGGTTTCCCGCTTTAGCCCAAAGGTATCATTCAGAACCAGAACACGGCTATCCTCCACACTCGGCCATCAGTTATATGGGGTTCCCACGCTGACGGCTTTGAGAGATAAAAGATGGAAATACATAATAAAACAAACCACAATAAATACAGGAAAGACAAAATCCCACTCAGTCCAGATGTGCAGAAATTTGTTTTCCTGCAACTGCATATAAATCTCAAGTAACTATTGTCAATTAGAAACGCTGTCATTTTTAGCATGCTAATAGGGCTATACTTTGTTCACACACCCATGAGAATAGCCTTCACAAACTGAAGTCTAATGTAGAAAAAAGACATTTTCTAAAATGATTAGTCAGTCTTAAAGGGATAGTTCTCCACAAAAAAGAAGATAGTGAGTAAATGATGACAATTCTTGCTTTCTAGGTGAACTTTGATGATGTTCTGTATAAAAGTGCAACTGCTTTTTTTTTTTTAACAGTTTATGTATTTATAACTTTAATAACAATATATTATTGACTGT